CGTAAGAGAGCTCAGTGTTGCCAGAAATATCACAGATTTTCTGAAAGAAATAGCACATGGTTTAGGAATCACATTATCCTTTGAAAGATTTCCCACACCTTTCGCTCCTTCACCTTACCCATCTCTTGGTAGTCTGTCTTCAACTGATATACTAATTGAATTGATATACACTTTATTCTTCTAAAAAATGATACCAGTATGAAGAAGTTGCATCCACTTTGTTGGCAGTGGGCTCCTTGACTTTAGAAGAATATTTACAGCTGTTAAGAAACCCTGCCCTTGATGTTTGTTTCTCATTATTATTTATTAGAAGCAGTCTGGGATTTCTTTTTTTTTTTTCCAGTTCATGACCAAGAGGACCTTTTCCATGTTTGTCATCCCCAATGAAGCACCTATTTTCTGTTGATGGTCATCCTGATTTCTCTGTTGGAGTCTCATTTCCACAGATCATATTATGAATTTCAACATCTCTCCCATTTGTGTTTATGAAATGGGAAGAGAAATATTTGAATATGAATTAGTCCTTATTTTATCTCCTGTTTATTTTGTTATGCTTGCTGTTTGTCATTTCTTCAGCGTCTGCAGCTCTAATCAGATGAGCAGAAAAAGAATGTGATGTTGAACAGAATTAGGAAAGCCACATCCATGCAGAAACAAAAGCAAATGTCTGAGCCACTAATACATCACAGGAGGGGACTCACAGTGAACTGTGATCTTCCCAGAATGAGACTGATTGGAAGCATGGGGAATGTGTTAATGTCTGAAAGTGGTTAAGGGGTTTACCCCACTGATCTGAGTTGGGGCCCATCGAGAGCAGAACAAAGCTTATAATCCTACCAGCAATTTAAGTGATTATAATTTTCTGTCTGGCATATGAAAATAACCTCATGGGAAATCAGACTAGCATACTCCCAAGTGAAAATATTAGTGTTTATCAATTTACAGTTTGGGGAAAAACTTAGGAATCATAGTATAAAGAAATCTGGGATAGAAGCCAAAGAAATGAGATGAAAGGAATATACCTGCCAAGATTGCAGAAGAGAAGAATCTACACCGGTCCACAAGTTCTAACTGAGCATATAATCTTGTGTTCAATCCTGAAATGAGCACTCTGAGTTAAAGAAACAGACATCCCAAAGAGTTGGGAAGACCAACATGGACATCTGTAGTGGCTCAATTGTAGTGGACATCTGTAATCAGCTGGACTGTGAACCTAGATCATCCTTGCATCCAGTTTACTCTAGCCCCCGGGGAACAATCAAGCCTGAGGGTGGAGTTCTGTTCTTCCTAACCCTAGAGCATCCCTTGCCTTCTGGACAACTTTGTCTGTGAGAAAGTTATCTCACAGCTTTTAGAGATTCACATGTCAGAGACCCCTAGAATGTCTGCCAGTTACTCTTCTCTCCCCATCCCTTCCTGATACATGTTCAGGTTTACTATTTGTGGAACCACTTCTTGGACAGGGAGATGAAGAATGCTTTTGAGTCATATGGTCATCTGTGTTAGTTTCCTGTTGCTTCTGTAACAAATTACCATAAATTGGATGACTTACAAGAACGGAAATGAATTCTTTTATAGTTTTGGAGGACAGAATTTGAAATCAAAGGGTCAGCAGGACGGAGCTCCCTTTGGGTCTTTAGAGGAGAATTTATCCCTTTCTTCTTCCTTCTTCCAATGGCTCCAGGCATTTCTTGGCTTGTGGCTACATAACTCCAATTTCTGTTTGTCTTCACAGCCTTCTTCTCACTGCATGTCCCTCTTCTTTGTGTCAGTTACAAGGATACTTGTCATTGGATTTAGGGCCCATCTTGATAATCCAGGGGGATCTCTTTTGTTAGTCACCTTGTAATTGCTGTGACCAAAATATCTGACAAGAGCAACTCAGAGAAGGAAAGGTTTATTTGGGGCTCAAGGTTTCAGTTTCGGAGGTTCAGTCCATGGCTGACTGACACCATTGCTCTGAGCCAGAGGTGAGGCGGAGCATCCTGGGAGAAGAGTGCAGTGGAGGAAAGCTGCTTAGTTACTATCCAATAGTCCATTCAAATTTTTAGTTGATTAAATGAACTAGTCCACTGATTAGGCTACAGCTCTCCTAACGTAAGCACTTTACCTATGAACATTCCTGCATTGTCTATTACATGAGCTCTGGGAGTGGGGGACACCTCATAACCAATCCAGAACCATCTCATCTTTGGAATAATAACTTATCTATATCTGCAAAGACCTATTTCCCAAATGAGGTAATGTTTGTAGTTCCAGAGAATGGGGCATGATCATATCGTATTGGAAGCCACCTTTCAACCCAGTGTACCATCAGCCATTCTATTTCCATGTCTTAAACTTCGAGGACTGTGAATCACCCTGAATAACTTGATAAAATATATGAAATTTATTTATAGATAAATATACATGGTCCAATGAATATGAATTTCTGTTTAAAATTTCAAGGAATTCAAAATCCACCACCAACACCAAAGCCCAAATGTGTACTATAGGTTGAAATACAATTTCTGAATGGTAACATCCAACATTAACCACAGGTTTTCTTTGTTATCTGGCTAATGTAAATAGCCCCTGATATTGCCCCTTTTTTGTTCTAGATAATGTGTACAATTTTGTTAACTCATTTTAAGATCATCTTGAGTCTTTTACTTCTCTCCCTGAAGTGTTTGTTGGTATTGATCACATTGTATATAGAAACTCTTGAGCTGCTGTTATTGCTATTCAACCTCAGCTGTACCAAGCCTGTTTCTTTTATCCGATACTTATGTCATTACCAGGAGGAGAAACTGACATTTCTCATGGTTGCGTCACATCTTATTAAATTCAGCCTATCTCCTTAGACTGTCAGGACCTTATTGGGTCCGATTCTTCCAGCAAGCATATCGACTGTTTCTTCCAGCATTATATCATCAGAAAGTTCAGTTTTCATTGATGACCATTATTTCCATGTCTTCAAATCATTAATAAAAAATGATGAACAAGACAATAGACAATAGAAACTTACAGCTAACTATTTATACCTCCCTCCTGGTTATTTTTAATACTCTAATTAGGTGTTGTTCAGCCTCATAATTTTACTAGCACCTGACTCTTTTTTTGCTTTTCATTTTTTTTTAATTGCTATGGCAGCCCTGCCAGTTACCCTGCTGACATCCAGGTAAATCGTGTGCCTCATATTTCCCTCTTCTGTCTGCCTAGCCAACGTTTCATAGAAAGGCATGAGATTAATCCATGGTGATGTATTTTGTGATCCATGAAATTACTAAACTCTTTGGAGTAGGCAGAAGTGTTCAGTTTAGCATCACAAACATCCTGCAACTCAGAGAGCTCCAATCAGGGAGGACTCACAAGAGGAGGTGTCTTTTGAATGTGGGAGAATTTTGATAGGCTGAATAGAGAAGGAAGGAGACATTTGTCAAGGTCCTCTCACATCCTTTCATTTTTTTCTTGATGAGCTTATCAGTTGAATTCATCTCTCTTCAAACAAGTAGACATTTATGATAGGAGAAAGCTGTTTTGTTAAAGATTTGAAATGTAGAGATTTGTAACCTCTGAATGAATTCAGAATGAAAAGATAGAAATACCTTGGTGGATGGCCTGGCATTGATGTGTGGGATCTGGAAACCACTGGATCTAGCAAGAATGCAACAAAACCAAGAACCAGGAGAGACAGTCAAGTTCACTCCCCACAGGGTGTACCATATATGCAGAGTGTTCTAGGCTCAGGGCTTCTACCCAAAGCTGAGCAGATGCTGATACTCGTACAAAGACTCTACAGTTTTACTAAAGGAGAGACCCCTCAGTTGCTCCCTCGAAGTCTGTTTAATCTTACTTGACATAAAGTTTTTATTTTAGTTTTATCTGATAACACATTCAAAGTTGTTTCTTGAGATATATTTTCAGTTTATGATCTACAAAGATAATCCTGTTTCTTTCCCCATTTCACAATTGTTTTTAAATCCCATTTCTCCTTGTCTTTCAAACCACTGAAGGAACTGTCCTATGAGAGAGTTATTCTCTTAGTTTTCATCATGACAGTATGTGAGCCTGGGCAGAGGACATTCCAGGGCTGTAGTGTGACTTAGTTTCAAGAAATGGAAACCATCCAGTGTCTGAAGGACTCCAGTTCCTTCAGACTTGTTCTAAGCTCCTGGCATGATTAGTCACCCTTTACATCAAGGTGATAGATGTCTTGCTTTGTAATTGCAAGACGTGCCACCCGAGTAGAGTATGGATGATCCGTCTTTTTTTTTTCCCTATTTTTCTAGAGATGATTGATCATTCATAGGGCTCTCAACTGCTGGGCTTTGAAAAGGTCAGTATTGATTATCTAAGTCATGCTGATGGTGTGCTTCTTTACTATACATAAATATGAGTTCCTTTTATGAGACTGCTATGATTTTTCAGAGGAGGAGAGGGGAGAGGGCATTCATGTGAGTTAGGCAATGGAAATTTCACCTACAACACATTTAGATACAGTCACAGAATTTGAGGAATGGCAGAGTCATACTTTAGATTAGCTAATCCACTCCTCTTTCAATACACACACACACACATACACACACACACACACACACACACACACACCAATTTACAGATGAGGAAACTGAGTCCCTGTCAATGCACATGGATAGGTGAAATCCCAGTGTTTGCATTAAGGAGAAATGGGAAGGCTATAGTTCCAAATGTGAACAATGGTTTTACCTGGGGTTTGGATTGTTGTACAACTTTTCTACATTTTAAATCTTCCTGGAAAGCACATATATGACTTTTGCAATTAGGAAAAAATGTTTAATGTTAAACTCACTGGGAATGCCATGCTGATTAGCTGGAACTGTGAGGACAGTGGACTCCTTCAGTGGCCTTCCAAGAGTTCATTTTGGAAGGACAGGAAAAGTCCAGGCTGTGGTCCAGTCCTCTATCCTTAGTTCTGGTGCATTACTGACTGACAATGGGCCTTCTCTGCTTGTCTTTCCTGCCCTTCCCCAAACACTTAGAGTCTTTGGCCACTTCAGCCTCCGCTCTGAATGGCAGTTAGTGAAAGTGGACTACAAGTCTATCTTCAGCCGGCGCTGCACCAAGGAGGACTATCAGACCTGGCACCTGCTCAATCAGGTACAGCCGAGGGTGGGGCATGCTGGCCTCTAGGGAGAGGAGCTCCTGCAAGCTTGGGTCAGTATTTAGCCTGGGGCCTTCCTATCAGAGGAGGAAGGTAGCAGGATATCTGAGCAGTGGGTGTGGGTTCAGGGGACATACCAGGCCTAGCACGGGTACAAGATATTTAGGAACCATTTTGCCCCGGGGATCCTATGTATGTGATCATTGAGATGTCTCAGCTACCTGGGGAGAGGAAGTGATGATAACCTGGGGATTTATCTCTATGTGCAGAGAAGTGAGCATCAGGCATATTCACTAGGAGGCCCTCCTTTGGCTTGCTTATCTGCCCTGCCACTGTGGAGAGTGAGAATATATCTTAGGCCAGACTGAAGTAAGGGCCCTGGGGTGTCAGGAAGAGGCTCACAGAGTGCAAGGTGGATGGGTCTGCCGATGACTGATACCCGTTACTGTGTAATAGGGGCAGGTGTCTGCACTCTTTAGAACCCTGTGGCTATGTAACTTGTAGCAACTTCTCTTTTAATCTCTAGCTTAAGAATTAGGAGTTGGGTACTGTCATTTGGCAGATGGAGGGAATTTGGGGGTCAACTTCAATTTTACTGTGAAGATGACAGGATATTGCGTGCCACATGTGGGCTTCGTTCCACCTGATATTCTGCTGAAGCCACATGGCTTGTGCCCTGGTGGTTCACGGGGATGCCAGGAGTCTTTGCAGTCTCTATAGACAAGGAGAAGAAACAGGGTGATGTGGATATCAGGGGATGGGGTGGATGGAGGGATGGGGTGGGTGGAGGGATGGCGTGGGCCAGCCTCCCACAGTGATCCTTTTGTGGGGTAGCAGTTTATTCTTGAAATTGCTGGATGGTTCCTGAGGATAGATTTGCTATACTGAGTAGCACAGAAGGTAGAGCAGAGAAGGACAAGGCCAGTGTCTCTTGCTGAGAAGCTGGCTTATTTCAGCTCCTTTATATTTTTCTGCCTCTCTCACTATGGACTTTCTCTCTAAGGGAGAGCCTTGCGTCATGGGAGAAAGAAAAATATTCAAGAAACGCAAGCCAGGAGCTCAGTGTGCCCTGGGCCGAGACTACTCGGGGTCAGTGGTCTCAGAACCCTGTGTCTGTGCCGATTGGGACTTCGAGTGGTGAGTCCTTTGGCATTTTATCACCAATTACAACCTGATTTTTACCTGTCTGTGGAGTGGGGTTGAAGAAGGAGGTAGGAGAAAAAGGCATGTTCCAGAGACAGGATGTATGTCCCCTGGTCAGGTTACGAAGCCATGTGGGAGCGCTGCGCTGCTGGGAAGAAGGCAGGGCATTTTAACAGGGATGGTCACTGCTGTATCTGAGCAGCATCTCCAAGGCTTCCCTCATCTTCAGTGAGCAGATGTATTGGACAGTCATAGAGGGGTTGGGCTGGGCACAGAGGGAGCTTAGAGAGCCTTGGATGTTGGCCTGCAGGCCTGTTTCCTCAAACTGTGCTTCACGTGAACTGTCTGCCATGATTTCCTTTGCTTTTCATTTTCATTGATATATAATATTTGTATACATTTATAGGGTGCAGTGTGATAATGTGCATGTGTATGCAATAGATGATGATCAACTCAGGATAATTAGCACTTCCTTCTGCTCAAACATTGATCATAGTTTGGGTTGGGAGTCTTTGGACTCTTCTAGTTATTTTGAAATATTGAATAAAATGTTGTAGACTGTAATTCTCTAATGACAATGACAAAGAATAACTTTTAATCTCACCTGTTCAGATTGCATCCTCACCCTACAGCCCATGACTCCCAAATATTTAAACACTTACCTCCAGACCTGGCCTCCCTCTCCTTTTGGACAGATATGTCTCTAGCTATCTCCTCAGCATACATCTCTTTAGTTTTTAAGAGGAAAGTCAAGCTGGGAACGGTGGCACATGCCTGTAATCCCAGTGGTTCAGGAGATTGAGGCAGGAGGATTGTGAGTTCAGAGCCAGCCTCAGCAAAAGCGAGGTGCTAAGCAACTCAGTGAAACCCTGTCTCTAATAAAATACAAAATGGAGCTGGGGATGTGGCTCAGTGGCAGAGTGAGTTACATTCCTGGTAATACCCCATCCCCCCCCCCAAAAAAAAAGTGAGGGAAGTCAAACTTGATGTGGCCCAAGGAAAACTGTTCTTAAATCCTCTTAGTGGAAGAAGTTCCTGTTCAGTGTTTCCAGTCTTGATAGAGCACACAGCTATCCACTCAGAAGCTGAAGTAAAAATCTCCTTCTCCTCATCCTCAGACCCAGGACACTGAGTCCTTGAAGTTCTATGTCCACAATGCACTATGTCCCAAAGTTCTTCCACCGTCTCCAAAAATATGGATGCTTCCAAGAGTTACTCTCTTTCTCCCTCCAGCATTGCCACCCTAAAATCCATTTATCAAATTATACTTGAATAAATCCAAGTCAGATCTCATAACTCCTATGACTAAAGTGCTCCAATGGTTTCCCTCCCTCCTTAAATTATAATCCAGTCTTCTTCTGGCCTGCTCTGTTGTAGGTCATTTGGCTTTGGCTTACCTGGGTCGATATTTCTTACTATACTTCCCTCTTTCCCTGCATTGCAGTCATACCATTTCCTTGAACTTAATTAATCCAGACTCATTCATAGAAGAAGGAACAAGAAGTATACGAATTTTTCCCAAATCTCATGATGGCTGGCACCTTTGAATATGTCATGTCTCAGCAAAATTATTAGCTTCTCAGAAATGTCTTCTGAGACCACCTAATCTCACCTGTGCCCTAGCACTCTCTAACACATTGTTGTATTTCGATGTCTCCTTATTATTAAACACCATTTGAAATGATCATGTTTTTGAATGTTTTATTATCACCCATCTTTCCCCAGTAGAATGCAAGTGCTCTGAATGCAGGAACTTTTGACTTTCCTCATTGTGGAATTCAGTGTCTAGCACACAGTAAACAGTCGGTGAAGAGTTGTAACATGTTTCTGAATGTTCTTTTCAGAAGGGTCAAAAACCTCTCCAGAGCTGGGAATGTGTGGATATCCCTCTGATCCCAGTTGGATGAATTCTTCCTTTGTGTCCAAGTCAAAAGCTAGTGTTTTATTTGATTATAGCTCATCCCAGGTTAAAAGACAAAGCTAAGGGCTCAAGCGTGAGCCTATGAACATGGAAGGGGCTGAACAATGATACAGTTGCATTGGGGCTTTTCTGAGCTGAATAACAAAGGTCAGTCCAGAGAAATGGATGATGTAGAGAACAAGGGATTTAACTGTCAATCCATGGGTGCAGAACAGCTGCCCCTGACCAATAGCCTTCCTCCTTCTGTCCTCACGGATTTGAAACAAGAAGCTTGCTCTGTTTCCCACTTTCTACTAGGAAAATAACTGACAAGTGCAAGCCAAGTGGGTGACTGACTTCTCCCTACCTGCTTTCGTTCTTTAGAAAGCTTGACTTTAGTGAGATTTTATCAAATGGAAGGTACTAAACAGAATTTAAACTTCAGTAGCTGGGTCCCTTCTGTGGCAATTTTGATCCTTTGGGAAGAAAGACTATTTTTCACAGTTAGAATAAATAATTTTAATTATTAACCACAATCAATTAAAACAGTCAAAGCAGTGTGTACTGTAGTTCACTCAGAATTATGGCTTGTGACAGATTGATGTCAACTTGAATAATCAGCAACCGAATGTTTCGGGCAACTTTTGTCTTTCTGCAAACTAGTTCCATTGAAGCACCCTATCTCTGCCTCAACCTATAGAGATGTATTCCATATTTATATCCTGTATCTCTCCAGACACAATAGATGCTCACCCATTGTTGGGAGGCCACAGAAGTGAGAAGGAACAAGAACTCTAACATATATTTCCATTAGTAATTCCATTAACATTTATTGGTGTGGATAAAAATTCCAATGCTGATCTTGGGATTTTTTTTTTCTTAATCTCTGTGTCTTGTCTCCTAGCACAAAATAAAAATAGATTATATGTAGGACCCATTGGGTCCTAGGGAGAACTGAATGAATGAATGGATGGATGGATAAATATGCATCATGAATATAGATAAGGCATTCATCCAAGTGATGACCATACAACACATAGTTGCTATTGGTGGTGCTGCTGCTGTTGTGAATCTTGGACCGACCCCAGGGTTAAGTGGTCCCTGTTGTATCCTTAGCAACTGAGCTAGAGCTTACACATCCACTTAAACACAGTCTTCAGAGTAGTACTTTTGGGTATTACCTATTTATTTTAATGCTGGTGGCATTGTTTCTAAATCATTATTTAGAGATTACTGTCATAATCCATCTCTAAATGAAGTCTGGTGGGTGGGGAGGGCAGCTCTTGCAAGGCATCCTGTGGTTCTCACCTTTGCATAGAAATTCCACCTGGATCCAAGGCCCTGTATCATCAGGACCTTCACTGTTGGCTTTTAATGAGGAGAGATTAAGCATCTTGACCATAAGTTACTTGACCAAGCTTACATAGCTGGGCTTCAAATAATGCAGGACTAGCTAAATCTCTTGTTCTTGCCTCTATTTCATCCATTTCTCAAGAAATCAAACAAGTCTTATTCTTTCATATTTACTTTAGGTTTCAGAAGAAACAGGGTATCCATGTTCAGCTACTCTAAAATCAAAATTCATCTCCAAGCAACCTAGGTTTACCACTCTTGATGAAAGTTCTTATGGAATGTTTCATTAATTGTAAAACAATTTCAAATACAGTAGTTTTGACCTTTAGTGATAGAATTTTAAGAGGTATATGGTCTCCAAGAAGCCTCTATCACTTATTTCTTTTTCTTTTTTGTTTATTTCATTTTTATGTTTTTATTATTGTGTTATAGTCATATATAATATTGGGGTTCATTCTGACACAATCATAAAAGCGTGGAATATAATTTGTTCCTCTTTAGCCCCCCAATTTCCCCTTTCTCTTCCCACTTCCCTACCCCTATGCCCCTTCCTCTACCTTACTGTCTGTCTTCAATTTATTTAGAGTTTTATTTTAATTAGTACTTTGTAGATATACATAAATGTGAAGTTCACTCTGGTATATCGATATCATATATGTACATAGCATAATTTGGTCAATTTCATTCTACCTCTTTTTCCTTTCCCTGGTCTCTCCCCCTCAATCACCTTCCTGTGATCCACTGATCTACCTTTTATTTCCACAGGATTCCACCTTTTATATTCCCTTATTTTGCTCTAGCTTCTGCATATGAGAAAACAGTCAACCCTTGACTTCCTGAGTCTGGTTTATTTCACTTAGCATGATGTTCTCTAGTTCCATCCTTTTAGCAACAAATGCCATAATTTAATTCTTCTTTATTACTGAGTAAAACTCCATTTGTGTTTGTGTGTGTTTGTGTGTTTGTGTGTGTGTGTGTAATCTTCTTTATTCATTCATCCATTGATGGGCATGAGGGCTGGTTCCATAACTTGGCTATTGTAAATTGCACTGCTATAAACATTGATGTGCTTGTATCACATTGATTTTAGTTCTTTAGAATAAATACCAAGGAGTAGGAAAGCTGGGTAATATGGTGATTCCATTCCTAGTCTTTTTAGGAATCTCCAGGCTGCTTTCCAAAGTGGTTGTACTAATTTTCAGTACCACCAATGATGATGGGAGTGCCTTTTGACACACATCCTCATCAGCATTTTTTATTATTTGTGTTCTTGATGATTGCCATTCTGACTGGAATGAGATGAAAATGCAAATAAAAACTACATTGAGATTTCATCTCACTACAGTTTTTTTATATGAGATATGATTGATGATTATTATCATTAAGAGCATCAAGTCTTGGATGCTTGTTTACATTGCTTGAGATTGACACCATTCTTCTACTTTTTTAATATGAAGTATGATTGACCACAGACATGTAAATATATATATATATATATATATATATATATATATATATATATATATATTCCATAACAATTCTGGGCCTCTTACTCTTTCAAACAATTTTAGTACTATTTTTTTCTAGTTCTGTGAAGAATGTCATTGGTATTTTGATGGTGATTGCATTGAATCTGTGAAACACTTTTGGTACGTGGCTATTTTGATGTATTAATTCTGCCTATCCAAGAACATGGGATGTCTTCTCGTCTTCTAAGATATTTGATGTCTTTCTTCAGTGT